GAGGGAGCCGCACTGCAGCCGTCCCCTCTCGGTCCTGGGCCCTGGCAAATCTGGCAGTGGTGATGGGGGAGGAGACGCAGCATCCCTGCGTCTTGAGGGGGCCGGGGCAGGGCAGCGCTGGCAGGCGCCCGGGGGAAGAGGGCAGCTCTGAGGCGCGCTCCCACCCCTGCACGGAGCGGGGGCCAGGCGGGGAGGCTGGGAAGCTGGCTGCGTAGCGGTGAGTCGCTGCTGGGTGTCTGCAGGGTGGCGACAGACCACAATGTTGACAACACGACGGCCGTGCTGCGGGAATGGCTGATCCACGTGCAGAGCCTCTATCACCACGTGGAGTGGAGGCCGATGGAGGAGCCCAGGTGAGGTGTTGCCAGCGAATTCAGGGGGTACTGCTCCAGGTCATTGATGTCCTGGGTAATAGGGTAAACGCAGGGCTGAAGGCTTGGGTAGAGCTGAGGCTAACCTCGGGGGTAGGGCAGGGATTGGGAAAGATCTGGTGGATCCTTGTGCTGCTGGAGAGCTGATGGGGTTATGTGCTCAGTGACCGGTGTCCTTGCTTTGAGGCATGTGGTGACTATTCTTGTTGTACAATCTGTTTCTGCACCCCACGAAGTCCTTGCGAGCACATGGGTCAACAGCTGATTCTTTTCTCCCCATTCTCAGCACTGCCCTGACCCCTTCCCAGCCACTGCCGTCCTCTTCATCTCCATACCAGTTCCCTCCCTGATTCTACAGACCCGTACCTCTAACTGGTGTGCTGCCTGCTTGTCCCTCTCCAAGCCAGTGTGAGCGAGTGTCAGGAACTAGAAGGTAGTTTGCTAACACAGGACTTGTTTTTTGGAGGCAAGTCAGCCTGCTCTGGGCTTCTGACAGCCAGAAGGCATCCTGGCCCCTACAGCCTTGCACATCTGCCTGGCTGAAAATCGTGGAACATGGCCCATCTGCAGGTGCTGTCCTTGTCACCTTAGCACTGCTCTAACCTTTGCACATTAGAAAAAATATTTGTATTTACCCTTTCAGAAACTGCTGGCACTGAGGAGATGGAATGAGATCTTGCTTTATTTGGTTTTGCTGGCTTGAGAGGGGTCACTTGGGAGCAGTGTTCTGGAGAGCAGGTCAGGGCAGAGCAGTGATAGAAGTCACCATGTGTGGTGAGATTGGCTTAGCTGTGATTGCAGAGCCAATAGGCATTCAGAAACGTTCCCATGCTAGCTGGGTGAAGGCAGTGGATTCTTCTGTGCGTTGAGGATATCTTAATCTAGGGTGTAATTGTGTCTGTGGAACGTAGGAGAAAAATCATGCCTCTGTGCTGAGTGGCTTCCCTTTCCTGTAATGTGTTGGGAACCTTTACAAAGGAGTGAGAGAGGCTGCTGCTTGTTGCTGCTCTCTACAGAGAAAGTATAAAAAACATGCGGGGCGACTGTTAGTACCTTGGTTTAAAAAGCCTCCTGGACCGGTGTGTTGCTAAAGGAGGATGGGTGCATTCTGCAGATACTCCCTTTTCACGTCTGGCATTTGCTCCTGCTGAGCTCATTCCTACTGTACCTTTTAGTTCTGTATTTTCATCTCGCATAGATATTTTCAGAAAGGAGAATAAGGGGGTGGGTTGAATCCGACTGGAACTTTAACCGCACTTGAATCTTTGGCAGGTCATACCCGGATGAGGAAGGCCCAAAGCACTGGTCAAATTCTCGCTATGAGTATGTGATGAAGCTCAGACAGGCAGCCTTGAAATCTGCCCGGGACATGTGGGCTGACTACATCCTGGTAAGAGAATCTGTGATGCTAGTAGGCTTGACTGTTTGTTTCATCACAGTTTTTCAGATGAGCAGAAATGCTAGCTAGCATTTGCTGAAATAAGGAGGAGTGAACCAATAGAGAATTTTTGGGCCAATACTGATGACTGATTTTTAATGAGCCATATCAGAATTGGATTGTTATCGGCTTATATGCAGTCAGGCAGCTGGAGACCGGTGTCTGGTTGGTAAGTCTGTGGAGGAAGGGGGAGGGGGGGGTGCAGATTGAGGTCCCCCGTGGTGAGGGAGGGAATGGGGCAGGGGCAGGTGCTGCACAGCTGGGGCAGGGCAGGGGACGGAGCTGCAAGCAGCTTGTCTGGGGGGGTTCAGCTCCCCCTGTTGCACGCACCCTGGGAGGGCATGGGGGGCATCTGCCCCTGGATCTGCGTGCAGGGTGGGCTGCCGCTGTGAGCTGTGGTCGGGAGCGGTGCCAAGCCTTTTCCAGCAAGGGCTGGGTTGAGCTGTGCTTGGGGCAGATGGCGGTGGTGCTGGGAGGGGGCCTATGGTGGGGGGCTGCAGTAGGGCTGTGCGAGGCTTCTGACTGTGCTTTGGATCCAGATAAGCTTTGGGCACTTTGGCATCCGAAGCAGCATGTCTGGATCAAAGCGCTGGCTTTGTTAGGCTTTCCGAAGTGGTTCGGAGTTTCTGAAGCGCTTTGGAGCCACTTCAGAGATCCGGCCATAAGGTATAATGGGGAAACAATTAAATATGTATAACTTTGTTGTTTTTTGTCTGATTTGGATGAAATTTGCAGGGGTTGTAACCTCTGCTGAGAGCATGAAGCCTGCCAAGTTTCAAGAAGATGCAGGGGTTCGGGGGGAACTGCACCCCAAATTCTTGAAAGCAAAACTTGTGTCACGTCTATGTGTTATACCACAGGGGGGTGAAAACTGCAGGGGTGGTGGCCTCTGCTCAGGCCATGAAGCCTGCCAAGTTTCGAGGAGATAAGTGCAGGGGTTTGGGGGAAACTGCACCTCAAGCTGCTGACAGGCAAAACTCGTGACATGGGTGACTCGTGACATTTGTGTGTTAAGGCACAGCAGAGTGAAAGCTGCAGGGATGGTAGCCCCTACTGCAGCCATGACGCCTGCCAGCTGTCGAGGAGATCAGTGCAGGGCTTCTGGGTTCTGGGGCCCTGCATCTCTGGTCACAGGCAGGCAAAATTCGTGACAAGGGGGCTTGTGCAACTGTGTCTGTCTTGGGGGGACATGGTGGGAGGGATGGGGGGACACAGGGGATGACGACTACTGCAGGCCTGGCTGCTAAGCTACTGCATTACAAGTTACCAATTAATCATGATTCACTCAGGGACCAGCTCAATACAGTTGCTAGCTAATGTAACAGTTAATTAGCATCAATTAATACCTACAAAACCCGAGACTAAGGAGAGGAAGGAATCAATACAGACAGTCAACTGCCCCAAGACGGAGAAAGTTAGTTGCACGAGCACCCACGTCACGAGTTTTGTCTGTCAGCAGCTAGAGGTGCAGGACCCCAGAACCCAGAAGCCCTGCACTGATCTCCTCGACAGCTGGCAGGCGTCATGGCTGCAGGAGGGGCTACCATCCCTGCAGCTTTCACTCTGCTGTGCCTTAACACACACATTGTCACCCATGTCACGAGTTTTGCCTGTCAGCAGCTTGAGGGGCAGTTCCCCCCAAACCCCTACACCAATCTTCTTGAAACTTGGCAGGCTTCATGGCCGCAGCAGGGGCTAACAGGCCTGCAGCTTTCACCCTGCTGTGCCTTAACACACACATTGTCACCCATGTCACGAGTTTTGCCTGTCAGCAGCTTGAGGGGCAGTTCCCCCCAAACCCCTACACCAATCTTCTTGAAACTTGGCAAGCTTTATGCTCTCAACAGAGGATACAACCCCTGCAAATTTCATCCAGATCAGACAAAAAACAACAAATTTATAGATATTTCATTGATTCCCCATTATACCCTATGGCCGGATCTCTGAGGTGGCTCTGAAGTTTCGGAGCCGCTTCAGCTGGACTGAAGTGTAAACCTGGTCCAGAGCTCCGGATCGGATCCTTGGCATCCGAAACGGCTGGATCTGAAGCCAGATCAAATAGCTGCCTACTCGCACAGGCCTAGGCTGCAGCCACCCCAGTATTCTCTGTAGCCACCTCCCAGTGCTGTTGCCTGCCCAAGCGCAGCCCCGGCCTAGCCCCCCGTTGGGAAGAGCCCAGTGCCACCCCAGCCCACAGTGGCAGCCTGCCTTCAGCCCGCACACAGATCCAGGGGCACATACCCCCCATGCCCTCCTGGGGTGCATGCAGGAGGAGGCGCCTCCCCACTTCCCCCGGGACGGCTTCGTCCCATGCTTCGCTCTGGCTGTGCAGCACCAGCCCCAACCCCAATCCTTCTGTCACCACGGAGGCCTCAAACTGCACCCCACCCCTTCCTTCGCAATGGACTTACCAGCTGGACCTGGCTGCTTTCCATACTGCTGGGCTGTGCTCCTGGCTGCCTCATGCTGTGCTGCAGCTGCACGCATGCATGGGGTGTTTAGCAGTGGCATTATCAGCCACATTTTCCTTATACCGATCCGATATGGAAACAATGCATCGGTGCACCTTTAGAAATAAGGGCAGTATTATGTAGTTAGTATGGACAGCCTGGGGTTGGAGACATCCCCAGTGGTGTGTTTTGAAGCCAGTGAAATACATTAACAGAGTGTGAACAGGAGCAGTTTTAACAACCTGACTGGTTAATATTAACTGTGGTTTGTTTTGGCTGTTTGCAGTTTGTGGATGCAGATAATATCCTGACAAACCCAGACACTCTGAGCCTGCTGATGGCGGAGAATAAGACGGTGATAGCACCTATGCTAGATTCTCGTGCTGCCTATTCTAACTTCTGGTGTGGGATGACCTCACAGGTAGGGAGAGACATCTGACCCTGAAACACCTATTTTACGGCTTTCCTACTGCTTTTCTAAATCATTTTAAATTATGTTGATGGTCCCTGTTTATACCTCTTTGGGGGATTGGACTATAGGGCAGCGTTTCCTAACCTTTTTCACCCTGTGGTACACTTATATGGCCGCCTCCACCCCGTGGCACACCAGCCGAGCAGGGGGGAGGGGGGCAGTAGCAAGTGGCCGAACGCCGCGGAGTGAGGTGGGGGAGGGAGGCGGGGGATTGGGTGGCGAGCGGTGTCTGAATCAGTGTCTGGAGCCACGCTCCCCATCTGTCTGGCTGCCGGCAGCAGCAGCAGGTGTGGGACATGGCTCCTGCCCAAAATGCTGCAGCACAGCAGTTGGAGAACACTGCTGTAGGGGTTTAAGGAGTTCACAGCTGTGCCCCCCTCACTAGTTTTTGCTTGCTATATTGCAGTCACACAGCAGCTCCTGTTCCTCTCTGCTGCTACTTGGGGACCCCTGGGTCATTGCTGGAATAGTTCAGTACTGCTGCGGCTGGAGGGGGCAGCGGGGAGCAACCATAAAGCCATGCCTTCCTCATGATGGCTCATGTGAGACTGTCCACTTCTCCTTTTCAGGGTTATTACAAACGTACTCCTGCCTACATTCCTATTCGGAAGCGGGATCGTCGTGGTTGCTTTGCTGTCCCCATGGTGCATTCCACCTTCCTGATCGACCTGAGAAAGGAGGCCTCCTGGGATCTCACCTTCTACCCTCCACACCCAGACTACACCTGGTCCTTTGACGATATCATTGTCTTTGCATTTTCCTGTAAGCAGGCAGGTGAGACAATGGATGTTTGCTTGCATATGTTATGTGTGTACTTCTGCTCTGTGGTGACTATGGAAATGCCTTCTGTCAGCCTTCAGAAAGGGAAGTAGGTTTCCTGCCACATAGATAATGGGAGATGTTTTAGCCTCATGAGCATATTATATGTTAATGTTTTTATTTTTTTTCCACTGCAGCATCTGTCCCTGTCTCTGCCCCTTTTTTTCTGCTTGTAGCCTTGCTGCAGTGATATTACAGGGCCAAAGAATAAAACTTTTACCACTGTTAGTCTGTTTATGAAATTACTTTCAGCTGCCTTTGCACAAAAGTTCACAGCTGCTTTGGAACAGGAACTAGTCTGAGCTGGCTGAGCAAGGCT